GACGTGCCAACCTGAGGGTCTATTTAACTCTTTAATTAAGGTCTTTATTGTGACAATGAGGTTCAAACAGTAGATTGTGTGAAACGATTTAGACTAGCGAGAATAACTTGAAATCTATTGGATGTTTCTCTTACTTTTCCTACTTCATACTTGTTGTATTATCAGTCTCTGTTCTTTCTTTCCCTCTCAAACTACATTTTCATTCCTCTCACCCACCGGGTTTGCTTCTCTCAAGTAGCAGATTACTTTGCTCTGCAGCTCCCCTCTATTCTGCAAGGGTTATCAGCTATTATTATTTACAACCACAGGTAACACAGGAGCAGAGGATTATGCATGAAGTGAGAAGAGTGTGTGTGTGTGTGTGTGTGTGTGTGTGTGTGTGTGTGTGTTCAGGGAACACTGGCCATATTACCATAATCCCCTCTGAAAACTATTTTTGTTCTGCTCATCAGCGCAAATTATTTCCCCCTAAAAAAGTCTCTCGCTCCCTCTCTCTCTCTCTCCTTCTCTCTTTTCTTCCGTGCGGTCCTCTCTCTAAAGCCTGATCATCAATCTAGCCTTGCCTCTACCTTCCAAACACACAAAACTCCCTCGCTTCCCACAATACATAAACATTAGGCAGAAACAATTACCCTGCCTGACACATTGCAACAAGAAAGTTTGATATGAAAAATGATTGCTTTTCATGTTGAATGGAAAGAACAAATGGAAAGAACAAAACCAGATTCCCAGGTGAGAAAAGTGATTATTTAAAAAAAAAAAAAAAGTTGGTTTCTTTACCAGGACAGTCTATTGGATAAACAATAAAGAAAATTAGATTAACACATTTAAATGAGTGTATTTGTTCATCAATCTTCTTATGTACTAGAGCTACAAAAAGTTTTTACTCATTTACATATAACTTTGGTTTCTAATTTTACCTCTAAATTAAACAGTAATCATCCTATTTTAACTTTGAAAACTGGGAATTGTTAAATGACAAGTTTAAAAAAAAGGCTTAAATTCCTTTGCATCACAACCAAAGTCTCCTAGAGGCATTTAGATGGATATAAGTGTGAAAACAAGTGATTTATGTGAAGTTGTCATGTCACAAACAGATCCTCAGTTGACTCCACCAGGAGTATTTAAAGACTTAAAGGGCTGCTCCACATATTTAGTATTGTACTTCCATTAGTTTGGGAGTCTTGAAAGATACTGCCTAAATAAAGATTTGACAAAATATAAGCAGCAGGAGCAGAGATATCCTGACCTTTAGACACCTAACACACTGAATCCTACACTTCCCATAATGCAGTGCGATCATCTTTCACTTCTTTAACTTCATACTTTCAGGATTCTTGACCATTCTTCACATTTCATCAGAGTCTGCTTACAATCAACACAGCTGTACAAAGCCTTCTTTGACTCTAGTGGGAGCTGGTAAACTGCCTTCAGTGATGTCACTTGAGTCATCGATGCCAAAGACATTGCATACAGATTACTAGGCACTGATTGTGTATTTCTACCGTCTTGCAATTAATTAAACACAAACAAATCAATGATTGAGAATGAAACAGGAAGTGACATGGGCACAACTCAGAATGGAAACTCCAAATGTAGCTTACAGTTAAAGCATCAGGTTTTAAGTCATTTATCATTAATTAGCCTACCCAAGGTGTTGTGGCACTGATGTTGCAGTGGACGAAACACTGTTGGAGGGAGGTTCCCACATGACTGCCCTGGTGATGTCCTGACCCAGGCTGCCCATCAATCTACAGGGTTGAGTTGTGGGGGCCAGTAAGGGCCATGTGTTAGGGTAGGCAGTTGTCAATACCTGGCTAGCTCACAAGCTTGGGTCTGTTGTATGTGGCAACGCTGTTTTGGTTGTTATGGCGACTAAGGGCCATAAGTCATGTTATGTTACTTATTAGAAGGTCAGAGGGCATAATTGGGATGACGGGTTTCTTCACTGAGCATTTATCCTTTCATGAGGGGAACAAGTATCTTGTGTTCATTCCAAATAGATTTTATCTTTAGACATCTCCAGCAACACAAAATTATAAGATGACATCACTGAAGTAATTATTCCACCTGACACAGCTCCTCCTGAGATTTATTTCCACAGACTGAGTAGTACTCTCTTTGATTTATAAACTGGCTTTGACATGAAAAATGGGTGTATTGCCCCTTTAAAAATTGTCCACATACAGTACTTTGTGTTAGCTAATGCTGCATTCATGTGGTGTCGGACACATCGGAAAAACGAGTTTCCGAGTTATAAAAGGCAACTCGGAAACTCGGAAAAGAATGAGGTGCCCGACTTCCCGACTTGATGTCATAATCGTCATCAAATGGGGTCAAAATATGTTTTATTAATGTGAACATACTTTCAATTAATTCAGGTATTACACATCAACTATTTTTTGCTATTGACAACATTCCGACTTTTCGAACTGAAATCAATCACTTTCACACACTGAAGTCGGAAGAACGACTTCCCAACTCGGAAACTTGGAGCACCCGAGCAGCACATGAATGCAGCAAAAGTCTGCACAGTGGTAACAATGTTGGGGTGGAACAGAATCTAAAGAAACTGTTCATATTTGCGCACATTGTTTTCTTTGTATTCATCATTAAGGTGGTAGCCAAAATGTGGATGCAGAAGTAAAATATAAACTTTCTTGAATGTATTTTCAGACAAGCATACCACTTTGAATGATAGTGAGTCCACTGCTACATAATGGGCTTCGAGGTTTGTGCAATGCATGGTCAGCCACAATGGAAAAAAAAAGCTATTGCAGCGCAATCACAAGCCACACTGTCAAGCTTCATCAGTACCCCATCTCACTGATGATATCTCTATTGTCTCCCATTACCTGCACGCACCATCACCACCACATCAACATGTCTGCTGCATCCGTGAGTGTGTGTGTGTGTGTGTGTGTGTTTGCAACTTTTCATTCATGTTAAGTGTGTTAATTTATGAGATCATTTTCTGTAGTGGTCACTCATGGATATCAGGGTGCTTAAGTGTGTGTGTGTGTGTGTGTGTGTGTGTGTGTGGTTCTGCAGTGTGCTGAGGGAGCTCTTGGCCCCTCGTTTAAGGGTCAAAAGATTCCGATCAGCCTCAGACTCCATTATCAGAGCCAGAGAGGATGGGAGGGGTTTTCTTGTGCCACCGAGTGGAAAATTGAGTCCATGTCACAAACTAATCAAATTGCGCAAAGAGGGCGAGTGGAAGAAGAAGAGAACACACACACACACACACACACACACACACACACACACACACACACACACACACACAAACACACACACACGCACAAGCACACAAACACATGAAGGGCTGACAGGTATTCAGGCCACACACACACACACACACACACACACACACACACACACACACACACACACACACACAGACAATTATGGCAGGAGAACAAAAGTCCTAACAGTGTCTTTGTGACAGCTTTTGCAGCTTTCTGGTTAGCTTAGCTTTGTGTCAGGCTAGCATAAGCTTGGAACCCTGTTGGGAATAAAAAAAAAACACAACGCAATTGTAAATAGTGCGCTACAGTGGAACAGATTTGAATGTTGCACTCGTTGTGGTAAAACCTGGAAGACTTTTCTTGGATATTTGGTTGCCTGGAAGGATGTCGCTGACGATGGAGGGTGTGATGGATTTCCTTCCAGACGGATAAACACACACTGTTGGGACATGCAACATGACGCTACGTGACCTCTTCATGGAGTTATTGCTTTTATATCCCAGGCGTTGATAATCACAGAGGTTGTTTAAATAAGTGGAGGGCTGGTGTACATGGAGGTCTGTGAAGGTAAAAGGGGGCATCCCCATCGAGCCAGCTCCACTCTGCCCAATTCTGCTTTTTTTCTAACTGAGCAGCAGTGCATTGTGGGTTCACAGGGTTTTTGTGGGGGTCAGTGTTGCAGGCAGCAGGTGTGGGTGTAGCCCTAACAACCCCCTGTTCAAGTGTCCGTTGGTGCCTAGTGTCCCCCCCCCACCCTCGTGTCCTCCACCCCTCCTCCAAACACGTGTCTTTGAGCGCTAGGAGGAGGAGGTTTTGGTTTTGGATTGAAGGTCCTTCTTGCCGTTCTGGTGCACCGGCGAGTCACTGGAGGTCTTGGGCGTTTTTCTGGGTGGGCTCTGCTCAGCGACGTCGTGTAGAGAAGGCTCCCTGTACATGGCCACTGGGGAAGGAGAAAGTTGCAAATATTTTAGACTTAGAAATCTCCTTACACTGGCTCCCAGTTTCTGCTCACATCAAATTTAAAACTCTGCTGCTCGCTTAGAAAACAGACACAAAAACATCTCCTCCTTACTTTAACTCTCTCATCCAGGTCTACACTCCCTCCCTCCCACTACGCTCTGCCAATGAAAGGCGTCTGATCCAACCTTCACAACAGGGTCCTAAGTCTCTGACTAGACTCTTCTCCTCTGTCGCCCCCCGGTGGTGGAATGAACTTCCAAAATCCATTCGATCTGCAGAGTCCCTCTGCACATTTAAGTAAAAGTTAAAGACCCAGCTCTTTCATGAATACCTACTAACTTAATGATGATGGTCTCCATATTATTGATGATGATGATGGTAATGACGATGGTTTTTGTTTGATAACGACGACTTATAAAATGGTTTCTATACTGATTAGTACGGTGGCCGGTAGGGGTCAGACGATCAGCAACTGATGAAACGACATACATTCAGAAAAACGCGCAGCATATATAGAAATCCTGCACATTTAAAAGCAAATGCAAAATACCACAACAAATGCAAAGGCTGAAACGCACTGCAAAGACACAAACGCACTGCAAAGACACAAACGCACTGCAAATAGGCAAAACAACTGCATAAGCGTCAAACGCGCTGCATTACAGAAACAAAACTTAAGTCAAAACACACACAACCAGAAAACAACTGCAAATACAGAAACGCTGCAAGTTAATCTTAAATGGAAGTGCTCCAGGCCTGTAGGGGCACTGTGTTCATTCTGGTTTATTTACGTGAGAGAGTAAGAGAGACAGCTAGGATCAGAAAGTTATGTTTAGATGGTTAAGTTGTATCGTTGAAAGACACAGGATAACTTCAATATTACTGAAACGCAGAGATTAAAGCGAGTCCGATCAGGATTTTGACATCGAGGATGAGAGCCAGTGTGGGTCTGTGGCTGTAGCCCCGGGATGCCTGGAGCTAGAGCTAGCTCTGGTGCTATGAGCTCCAGCTCCAGCTCATCCCTCTGCACCCGTTTTACCAGCCTGACACTTCGTGCTTTAGCCTTCCCCGGTGTGGAAGTGGATTTATTATCTAAACACCACCGGAACCACAAGACTCCTCTCACCGGAGCAGCGTATCACCGGGGTTCTGCTCGACTTTATAACATGTTTATAATATTCAAATTTGAGAAATTAGGTTTTGTTGAGCGGTAGCTTTGCTAAGTTGGCTGCCCGGCTACCGGCACCGTTGCCCGGCTTGAGTAGGCTACGGGACTTCCGTCTGCCAGGATTTATAACTTGTCAGGCCCGGGGCAGAGGGCTCTCCGTGGGTGAAGTGTCAGTGTTGATGACAGGGAGTAATGTTAAACTGTAGCAAAGAGATGAGTAGCAAGTTCAACCCGGACACAGGGATGCCAAAGGCATGAAGTGAACATTTAAGAGCTGAGGTTTTGTTGCACTGGAGACACAGAACAGTGATTTGACACTTGGTAAAAGAAGTTGACAATATTTAAACTTTTAGCGTCTTGCAGGACCGACTTGCCCTGACTCTGTCACAGCTTGTATTCTTTACATTAATGTGTTTTACCTTCAATGAGTTTGGGCAGAAAGTGCGCTGCTCCCTTCGTCTTCTTGACACGGTTCCCCTTCATGACCTGTCCGTCCCGGTTGATGCCGATGTACCACGCCCGACCCGACTGAGTCTGCCTGTACAGGATGGACGAGTAGGTGACGTAGTAGTTCTCGAACACACACTCCTTAAACTTACACTCGGGCGTGAAGTGTTCCTGAAAGAGACAGAAGCGCACGCACACACACACACACACACACACACACACACACACACACACACACACACACACACACACACACACACACACACACACACACAACGGGTCAGAGGAGAAGAATAACACATTTGGAGCGTCTGTCTGCCATTTTTTATCTCCTCCATTATTTATATATTTACTCTCCAGTTCAACCGGCTCAGCTGGGAATGGGAGGAAAATGGGGCCCCACATTTCATGGTGACAGGGTTACAGGAGCGTCTGTGGCTTGCATCGAGGAACTGAACACACACACACACACACACACACACACACACACACACACACACACACACACACACACACACACACACACACACACACACAGACAAATGCACGCACAGCGGTAGAAATTCATTCCAACGCGTGCACATTTCTCCATGTTAGGATAAAGTGGTTCCAGAGGTGGGATGCCATAACTCAGCTGCTTCGGTTTACCTGTAACAAACAACAATCAGGTGGATCCTTCACCTTCCTTATAGTTTAACAACCCCGCCATTGGCCTTCAGCTCGCACACACTTGCACACACACATAGCTCTGCATTAGACGATACGTCAACAGTGGGACATCCCCCTTCCCTCCGTCTCCCTCTCGTTACAGCGCTCCCTCTCTCTCTCATATTCCGCCTCTTCGTCTCCTCTTCATTCCCTCCATCCCTCCGTCATTTGGTAACCTTGTTGAGGAACAAACCAATTTGCAGGATTGATTTGGAGCCTTGATGTGACGGGTGAGCAGAAAAGGCCTGAATAAGGAGTTTGCTCTCTCTCTCTCTTGTTCATTTCTCACTCGCCCTTTCTCACCCTCCTCCTCCTTCTTCTTCTATCTCTTCTGTCTTTCTCTGCAGCGCCTTAACGTCTGCCTATACCCATTGTAGCGCACATAAACAAGCTAATTACATTGACTGTATCGCCCATGCTTTAATTACACATCCATTCACTTAGGCAGCCGTTCATTTCCTCACCCACCTATTAACTCTAGCTCTAATAGCACCGAGCCCGATCCAAAGGTCTGGAGTCTGTTGGAAGGTGTAATCAGATTGCTATCATTAACCGCGTTTGCACAGCAGTGTATTGCAGCTCATCTTCACTGCACTCTTTGTGTGTGTGTGTATGTGTGTGTATGTTTGTGTGCGTGTGTGTGCGTGTGTGCGTGTGTGCGTGCGTGCGTGTGTGTATCAACATGTGGGGGGGACTACAGGATTAAAGCCAGCTTTGTAAATCACCAGCTCACAACCTCCTAACATACATTCTCTAGTTCATTAATTGATTAATTATGTGAATTAAACGGAATCTGGCCATATGAGTAATGTGAAGCCTGTGTGTGTAAATGAGTGTGTGTGTGTGTTTTTTAAGCTTCGTCATTTCATGTCTTTTTGATCAGCCATTAAGACCACAGCAAGCAAGCAGAAGAGGTAAAATAGAGATTGGGATTTTATCAACAGTAAAAGGCAGATTTTCCAATTAAAAACAAAAGGATTTATTTTTCAGATAGCCTGGTCCAGATAGGGAAAAAAGTCAAGTTCAATATGGTGACAAAGGCAGGGCCAGTGGTGCAGCAGTGAAAAGTGACTACATTTGCTGAAGCTCCATAAACAAGAATAGTATTCAGGCATTTGTGTTTTTAAAGCTGGCAACACTCTAGACAATTTTGGGCCTGAACCCATCACCCATGTTTTTTTGTTCCGCAAAACATAGCGCATGCCAGGCCAGGACTGTCAGCTGTCGACCTATAGAAGCTTTAACAAGGTCCTTTTCAACAAGTTTAAAGACATCTCAGAGCTCCCCTAAACATGTGTGTGAAGTTTATTTTTATAAATCCACTCTGATCCTGTATTTGATCATGCCTATAAACCCCTCTATTTCAGCCCTGCTCAGTTTCTCTGTCTGTAGCTTTAAATGTAAATGAGCTGTGTCTGACCACGCCCCCTCCCCGAACGGCCTGTTTGAGCACACATTTTCTGAGAAGTGGAGCAGGCGGAGAGGATGGACTTTTCTCATCACTGGAGAGTTTGTAGACAGGATAGGGACAAAACATTTTAAAACGATTTTACATAATATGTGACTTTTAACTTACTTGATAGTAATATTATAATAATTTGGTTTGTTAAATTATGAAAGAAATTGTTCCATTTTGTTGAAATTAATGTTCTTTTAAAAAGATTTAGTTTTTCTCATTCAATTTGTTAATGTAAGACAAGATAAGAAGGCATTTTTAAAATCTGCTCGGAAATTTTGAGAGAATGACATAATAATGTTAAGGGATCGAAACTCTTGTCGCTAACTGACATGTAATATATGCTAATCATGATGTACTGACACTGAAGCATGACACATGGAATATGAACACATTGATGCTTTACTTTGATGGTAAAACAAAATGCATCCCTGACAGTGGATTAACAACACAATCACTATTGTGTGTGTCTCTTTAAATGAGGCTTAAAAACTGAATCCCATGTTTCCAGCTGCACCACAGAGCAGAGCCTCTTATTCATCTCCTTTAAGGTGCAGACTTGTTTCCCATTATTCCATTTTCTCCGAGCTGTTTCCTCATCTGTTGTCTCACCTAAGTGTTCCAGACGAGTGTTGAAAGCAAATGAAATCGAAGCACTTGAGTCCTCGTTGCCATCAAAGTGATTATGCATGCGCAGACGACTGAACATAGTTTAAATTCAAGAAAGTGGTGAAACATGACCTGAACATGACAAGGCAGCAAACAAAAATCTGTTTTGTTTTCAGTGTATCATATATTTATGGTTTCCCATTGAAACAAATACACCTTCAATATTTAATGCAATTTGACTTGGTGTAATGCTAAGCATGGTGCTACACAGACTGAACCCCCCCGGCAGGAACACAAAGATTGCATAAATAATTGTGAGTACACTCACCTCTGCAAGTCATGCAGTCAGTTAAAGCTGCAGTAGGCAACATTAGTTTACTGATTTCAGTTCAAATTCCACATTTGGAAAAGGCAATCCTTTAAATAAATGTGGGTCTGATCTGTATGTGAGCCCCCGCCCGTTTGGATTTTGGCAGTTCTCAGTCTTTCTCTTACTTGCTCTCTCTCTCTCTCTCTCTCTCTCTCTCCTCGAACGGCCGTGCAGCACATCAGTCACGACCTTTAAACTATTTTGGGATGTATATTGATTGTCCGTCAGTGTTTGTGTCTTTTAAAGCCTGGTCCACACTTAAAGACTTTTTGAGTCTTAACAGATATCAAAGATGTGAGAAACCCCACATACGCTATGAGTACAAACAATAAGAGTAGTTGTTTGTTGTGTGGATCGCAATGATATGACCAAAACAGTACGTCGCATTAACAGATTCCATTGACTAAAAACAGCACTCCAGACTCTAAAAAAGTTAAATCTCTCCTAAAGAGATGCCCAAAACCGTGACATTGACCTTGTAGTGTGTTAACCCCGACTATGTTCGTCAAAACTACATGAATTGAACACTTGCAGTGACAACTTGGCTTGTATGATCGTTGCAGCATTTAGTGGGCGGAGCTTGATGGAGTGATAAAAAGGAGCAGAGGAAGTGGTTGAAGGTATTTTTGCAATAGAATATTCATGCTGCATACTGCCGCTTAGTGATGTGAAAAGCAGTTCTTTTCAGTGTACTGAATCAGTAGAATCAGTTCAGTAAAGTGATTCATTCAAAAGATTCGTTCACTGAATCGTTCAGTACTTCTCTGCAGCTCTGTCTGTGAATCAGAATTTAATAAGCTGAAACACGGCCGAACGTTTAGTTCTGCTCGCGATCGTACTGAGAACAGTCGGTGGTGAATAATAAACCAATGAGCTGAGAATTTAGTTGGATAAAGCTACAGTTTGCAAACTGAAAGCTGCTAAAACAATCACATTTATTTTCCCCGACCGTTCTGTTCAGTACGTTCAGTACACAAATCACTCACTGACTGTCTGACTGAGAGGAAGAGAGTGACTCGGAGGCGGAGCTCTCGTTCAGTTCGTTCACTGAACGAGAGCTCCGCTCTTCCTCTCAGTTCGTTCAGTGATTCACGTCAGAGCTCTCGTTCAGTTCGTTCAGTGAACGTGACTGAACCAGCCTCAGTCACACACACACTGTACTGACTGAAACACGATCGTTAGTGGATGTTAAAACAGTCAGCTGAGTGAAATTAAGTTGGATATAAAAGCAGTTTGTAAACTGACGCAGCTATAAAAAGCACATACATTTTTGCGACACCTAAATGTTAAATAATATATTTTCTACTTCCTCAATTTTGGAGACATGAGAGGGAGAAGTAGGGGCGGGCTTTAGCGACACAGAGCTCCTGACCGACTCCGTCCTGTTGGTTCAGTCAGTACATATCACTGACATGAAAGGGAGAGGGAGGGCGGGCTTTGAGCGACTCTTACGGTCTAGACTCTAGAGAGAGACGGGAGAGAGGAGAGCACAACTGAAGTTGAGAAATGAACGACTCTTTTCAGTAAGTGATTCAGTTCAGTTCGTTCACCCAGATGATTCGTTGATGATGATGACCGACACGTCACTACTGCTGCTTTAATTTGTGCCTTTTTGGTGGGTTTTTAACATCCAAAATGGCTGTTTAAATAAATAAATAATAAATAAAAAACAGCAGCCTCTGGTGTTGAAAAATGAGCTTAATGCAGAAGTGAAAAAAAATGCAGTTTTACAGAGTGTCCACTTGAGGGCGCCTTCAATAAGAATCCCTGAAAAGGCCCCATGTTAAAAAGCCCATCACAGCAGAAAAAACAAAAACGTGTTTACAGCCTTGTACATAAAAGAAAAAATGTCTGAATATCTTTATTCTTACACACTTTATGACAGGTGCATTTTTTTAATTCTCATCCTTTTTAATCATAATAAGAGTAAGATTTGTAGACATGTGTCATCAAATTAGGGGCGTGGCTGATTTGACTGACAGGTGAGAGTGTTGTACCTGTTTGTAAAGAGTCTTCAGACCTGCTTTA